AATTCAATAAAGTAATAATCAATAAACAATTGCTGTATATGGTGCAGGAATTAATTGATTATTCAACAGATAAATTTTGAAACTTAATAATTATTTTAAATATTGTATATAATCGGCAATCTGAGCAATTTCGCTCTTTTACACAGGGCAACGAACCCGCCCTCCGACATATAAACACTAACATTGTTTATGTGTTGGTTCCTAATCTTAGAGTTTCCTTGGTACAAATAATATTCTTAGCCGATTGTTACCACCACTAATTAACCGGGGTTATACTCAAAGAAAGGGAAGTCGTAAACTATAACCAACTATTTCCAAGTAAATATTTATTTTATTTTATTTCGAGACCTTTTTCTACTATTGTGACTAATCATATTACTTAAATTTCATTTACAATGTATGTATTTCAGTTTTAACGACCAATTTAACTCCTGTAGCTGACAATACCAGCATCGATGGTTCTAGTTGCAAGAACAACGCTTCAGCCAACACTGACCAGGATGCATACGATGAATCTTTAATTATAGCTGTAAAGAAGAGGCTCCCCTTGTGGAATCACAAGATCCCTATCAAAGATCGCACTACTTTGATAAAAAACATTCTTTGGCTAGAAGTAAGTAAAGAGATGCAAGTAGAAGACGTTGAAGATGTTAAACGTAGATGGGAATCTCTTCAAAACAAGTACTTAAAAACAAGAAAGCGAGTAATAGAGTATGTGCCTAGTGGGTCAGCTGCTTTAAAGAAAAAGGACCCATCACAGTTATTTCCATTTTATGCAATTATGAAGTTCTTAAACGATGTGATTGATTTGGCACCGTAAGTGTTCACTGCTTTTTATATACAGTTGTTTGTATGTCACTGAACATCTATTATTTGACTTTAGAATGGTTTCTTCTGTAAAAAAATCGTGTTGACGATGTAGCTAATACATCAATCAATGTGGAGGAAGCCCTTGAAGAACAAGAACCAGCTGCACCTGATTTCTACGCAAAGAAGCCTAGAAAAAGTACGTACATATTCACAGAGCTTCTAAATAAACAATAAAATAAAATAATGTTTATTAAATATAGCACAATTGTTGCAGGATCAGTTAATACTAAAGTTTCTGACTTTGACAGTGAAATTTTGTCTTGTCTCAAGGAAAACAAACCTTTAGACGGTGTGGATGGATTTTTGCTGCAGGTTGGAGAAATCCTTCGTGATTTCCCAGTACACTCCAGACTAGAAGTTCAAATCGAAGTATTATCTTTACTGAATCAAAGAAAAAAAAGTTTTATTAAATTTTTTATAAGATTGAGATTATTGCCAAAAATTTACAGTACACATTCGTTAAATTAAGCACACTACAAATATAAGTACCTGTATAGGGATAAGTATATTGTGATCAAAAATAATGTAATTATCAGGTTGTGATTAACAATTCTAGATGTGCAAAGATATATCCTATATGACATGTGTGTAACACATTATTAATTAAGAAGGTACCTGATTAATATAAAAAGTGGCATGTAAAAACTAATTGATAAGAAAATAAAGTTTTTTAAATTTTCATTACGCACATTGAATCAAAAATCAATATTAATTGGTTATTATATGTATATCTTACAATTTTATTCACCTTACATGAATGTCAAAAGTCACAGTTATTAGCTTTTTCCCATTGAAAGGGGACTGCTCCTTCGTTCATAAAGTACTCTGCAAAGTCATCCCTTACTTTTACTGCAGCATTACGCTTAGCTCTTGCACTAATATTTCCAACACTCTGCAGTTGTGTATTTTTATCAATGATAACGGATTCGTCGATATCCTTTTCTTCTTCATTATACATAATCAAAAAATTTTGTAAACAGACGCAGGCTTTCATTGCTTCAATAGTGGCAGGCAATATTATTTCTACACGTTTTCTGAAGAGCCGCCAAGTGCTTATCAATTCACCAAAAGCACACTCAACTATTCGCCTTGCTCTGGATTGCCTGTAGTTAAAAACTTTTTTTCTCAAATCCAACTTCAAACTTCTTGGATAGGGAGTCAACATGTAATCGCTCAAACCAAATGCTTCATCTCCCAAGAACACATACGGCAGCTTTGAACCATCTTGCACCACTGGCTCTGGTTGTGGGATGTTGAATTTTTTGTTAATGATCATTTTTCCCGTTGTGCTGTTACAGAACACACCACCATCACTTTGCCGGCCTGAAGCTCCAACTTCTACAGCAATAAACTTTTTGTAAGCATCGACATAAGCTTGCAGATGGATACTGTGATGTCCCTTGTAGTCATAAAAATAGGAACTGCTGTGTGGTTGAGCCTGAAAGTAAAATCATTTAATTAAGCTTGTATTAATGATATAAAAAGGTGTATTCATAAATATATCTACCTTCATTGTAACTAATTTGCTGTCTACACATCCTAAAACAATGTGGAAAATTCCATTCAGATTCAAATCCTTTGGAAATTTTTCTCCAATCATTTTGGACACTGATGTTGGACTTACTCTGAATAACAGAGACAAATAATTTATGTAATCACCAGTTGCAAGATATCTTAAAGTAAGTTGAAAGCGAATTGTAGCAGATATTGGAGCCCTAACACAAAATTTTTTTGTAATTTTTGGTCCAACTAATGACAATAATTCATCAAAAGCCTCAGGTGACATTCTAAAAAAGTTTATGAATCCTTGTCTGTCATGGAGCCTAAGAGTCAAGACAAGATTGTCACTTGCGCCTTGAGCCACTCTATTCACTTCTTTAAAAAGTTCAGACACCCACACCCGCTTAACTTGATAAGTTTCACTGTTCAGTAATGCTCGATAAATCAAATACATTTTTTAAATTTTATTTTCTAATATTGTGTTATGATACATGCCACTTTGCCTTCTCTTGAGTAAAACGATAATTAAGTTTTTGAGGTTAGACGATGTAATAGGCATCGTTTTTGTTTGTACAGCTCTTATAAGCAGTGTAAAAAATGTTTTGTTTTATAATAATTTTTTAAATAGTAATTCTGTGAGTGATATGCCACAGGTTTAGGATTTAAATTATTGCGCCAATCGAGCTTTGGCTGGCACAGACTGCAAGACGCCCATGTACAGGCACCCTAAGATGTATATTTGGCACTCTTAACTAAATTCCCACGCATGCGCAATAGCAAGAAGTCTGACGAGACGCCGTGACGCTGCACTTAAGTATCTAATACCTATAGTTTTCTGACTCTCGCACAGTCAGTCTGTCTGTTCGTACACGCACTCTCTGTCTTCGTATATTCTTTTATTTGATCCTGCCTTTTCGGTTCGTTTTGCCATTGTACTTAAGATAGTACATACTAAAGATAGTGACAATAAACGTGTCCGTGTTTGATGATAAAAGTGATAGTGTTGTACATTTATTTGCCTGATCGCCTACCCATAAATCCATACTGCTAACAATAATGAAACGGCATCATATATTATTTCTTCTTCTTATAGATGATGACCGTGAGTAAATCGATATTCTTAATGTTGATTACAGTCTATTCATCGACAACTGGCTCATTTTTTCGAGCAACATGTGTCACACACAAGACATTATTGTCCGAGTCAAGCCACGCCTTAACCTTATCTGAATCATATTCATCTGGGATATTAAAATCCACGCTGATGTCTGAGGAAGTATTTCCGTCCTCGTCTTTTTCAACTTTCTTGATGCCCGTAACTGAAATGGATTGACCACTGACCTAAACCAAAAAAATTGTGAATTATTAAAAAAAGTGAAACAAGTCAAAGACTTAAACAAAGAACTTTCGTGCTTACGATGACGTTGAGTGTATCCAGGACAAATATTGTGGTGTCTATTTTCTTCAGACGTTCGAACTACAAATACGCCACTGTATATTTAATTTTTGAGAAAAGTAAGAAAATGATATGTTTGTCTACGATTGATTGTTTCCTTACCTTGAAATTGTCCTTTAAGAAGCTAGAATCATCCTGAATTATTGGTTCAATCTCCAACTGCCTCGCCTTTTGAGATGTTTTGCTAGTTTGGTAACCTGCCAAGGTATATTCAAACTGGCTATCAGGCCTTGGTCCTACTGGGTTATGCCATTTAAAACGTGGTTTAGTTAAATTTTCTTCGGACATTCTGATAAAAAAATACTAGTGTAACATGAAATTCTCGATTAGTGAAAAAATAAAATTGCAAATTGTGGTTAAAGTTACTCTATAATAACCTCTTATTTGTGAGGCAAGTGGCACGAGTCTGTTGGTTTCGATAGTCTGATCCTCTCACTTTCGTGTTTCAATCCAATCTTTTCCACCTGCCTCGATAACTCAGACGATTGCTGACGTGACTCCAATTCTGTACAATAACTAGATAGCTACTACGTGGGATCGACTTCTACGAGGAGGGTTCGGTTTTACCACTGATTCGAGCGTTTCGTTGTGGCCGAGCTGCTGAACAAGGTGCACGTATTTTTTTCGTATGCTGATCATGGAAAGGGTACACCAAGTATGCGTCACTCGATTTGCGTGGAAATGTGGGCACATGTACTGCACCCCAGGAGAGGCCCGAAATTCCAAAAGAACACTGGAATGTCAAGCGATTATACAAATATCAATGTTTAAATTTCGTGTTAGTACAACATTTTGTTTTAATTTTTATCGAATATGACGTCACCTAATTGTACTATAAAATAACTCGTTTAAACAAATCTATGACAAAATGTAAGTTGCCCCGCAAGTTACTATTGTAATTTTGTAAAACTTGTATTAGTAGAAGTCTGAACGTAGAATATATGAAAAATCAATTAAGACAACGTGTATTACAAATATTGTTGAAACAACATGTTTTAAAAGAAACAATGTCAATAGATAAATATTCTATCTTATTAACTTTTTCAACATTAAAAATTTCCCAGTGTTATGAAACTATTTCAAAATACGAAAAAAACGGGCATCGCTTCTTATGAAATATGGGTTCTTATCACTCAGTATCTATTATACATACCCTATTATGTTTGTTTTATCATATAAAAAAAATTGACGCAAGAAAGCTTCTGCAACTTAAATAGATTTGTATCTTTAATACATTGGTCATCACCTATTGAGTGAAGATGGGGAAAAAAACGTAATACGTAAGTTTATCGCTCTGTATGCTTAATTTTTGTTAAATAAATGGATTTATCTACTATTGAATCATGTCAAGCCTACAAGGAACAGCAAATTTTTACATAATTGATTAGAAAAATTTCTTACTCGATATTGTAATTTAAAATAATGAAATAAAGATTTTTTAAATTTATCAATAGATTATATACTAGTTAAGAAACTAAAATAAAAAATTTTTCCGATATGACAAAGTTTTGCAACTTTTTATTGTAAGTTCCTGATTTGAAATTTAAACGTTTGGTACACAAACAACTTGCTCTGAAGCTTTTTATGAAACGTAGGGAGAAGAAGAAGATATTTCAGAAAGCAATTGGTGGTTTTTTTAATGTACGTCCCAGTGTGTTCCTGAGACCTTTTTTACTAAGACGACTCACTCAAGTATTTCTTATACATTATAACCTGCTAAACACGATTCTTAATTGTGGCTTGTGGTCGAATGCGCACATTAATGGTTATTAACAAATTTTATTAGTAATTTAAAAAAACATAGAATCCTATTAAAAAAATGGTATTTTTAGTCTTCGACACATTTTAAGAAAATAATGTTTACACATCCTAAAACAATGTGGAAAATTCCATTCAGATTCAAATCCTTTGGAAATTTTTCTCCAATCATTTTGGACACTGATGTTGGACTTACTCTGAATAACAGAGACAAATAATTTATGTAATCACCAGTTGCAAGATATCTTAAAGTAAGTTGAAAGCGAATTGTAGCANATTTTAAGAAAATAATGTTTTCTGTCATTTTTCTCTGAACGTCATACTTTTTTAGTAGAAATTTCGCGAACTTTTGAAAAATTATAATCGTGCAATTTTTAATCGTTAATATCTCGATTGTTAAAAAATTTTTGGCAAATTTAGCAAGGTGTAAAAGATTTGTTAAACATTGCCCTTCAGAAATACAAAAATTTAAGACTGGTGAAAGAATTTGTCTCTTATTGATAAGCTTTGAATCCTTAGCTTCTTTCTATGCTCCTCATGTTCTGCGTACGTGTAAAAGTAAGATGTATACACTCCAAAATGGTTAAACATCTCGTGTTCGAAACACTAATCGAATATTGTGTGGCCTCCTTTATCTCTCTAAGAAGATATCAGGGGAAGAAAAATGTCCCCGTAGATAGCACTATCAACTACCCGCGTGCTTCGTACCTGCGACCGAGAAACCGACCAAGAACGTATACATGGGAGTAATAATATAAATGAGAAGGTCAACTTGAACGAACTATCAGCTATTAATCACAAAGAAATAAATAAAGACAGAAACATACAGTAACAAGGACCTTAACTGGTTGTTATTTAGGTCCCCATGAAAATATCTTTTAGCAAAACAAGAGGTTATGTAGGGTTAATGTGTTCAGTTAATATTTTCTGAAGAATTTCTGAAGCCTTTATACACTGGCAATAAATAGTATTCTTCCTGATAAATCTGTAGTCTTAAAAAGTTCTGAAATCAAAGTAAAAGAACAGAGAAGTTTTTTTGGGTGCATTATACATTTTGTATGTTACTCGTAATATATAATAATGTTCAGTACTCGTACTTTAATCATTATTTTTCAAGTTTTTATTAACAAAAATACTTGAAAAATTAAAAATATTTTTCTATTCCTTGTATGAATTAAGCTAAAAAATTTCGTAATTCGTAGTATGACTTATAAACAGTATTATTTAATTTTTGATCGGAAGTCGATACATACGTGTGTAAGTATAATATGAGTATGCACAAATTTTACATAGATAACGTGTACTACAAAAATTGTTTTAAGGTATGACAGTATAAACAATCAGCACTACTGACCTGTGAATCCATTAATTTAGTTGTCATAAAATCTAAACTAACTATCTGTAACGCTAAAAAATGTAATATACTTTTGCAAAACGCTCGGTTGTTTAGTTGAACGGTAATAATTAAAATTGAAATGTGAATAATATAAAGACAAAAGTGAAGCTTCATTATTATTGCCACTACCAAAACAGAACCCAGAAGCCGGATCGTCGCAAAGCGTTGGCGTATCAACTTCACGTCTACCCGAGTTGAAAAAAAAGCTATAAAGATGATAAATTCCCAGAATGTGTTTCTGAACCTTTTTTTACCAATCAGAGTAGTATTTATAGTATTATGGTTCTGCAATGTGATGACGTGCAAAAAGTAAAATACACGCAGCGGGCTTTACTCAAGTTGAAATGTAAGGAGACATGGCTCCTTATCTCTAAAATCCCTGAGTACATTTACAAACTTTTTTCGGTGAAACGATAACAAAAACTCCTTTGAATTGTAGGCGTATTTTTCTAATTTTAGCTTAGTACTGCGATCTTCCTAGGAATAGCAAGATTCACAATATAAGTGCCATCCATACAAGGCTAACAATTCTTGAAACTCTGCTTCGCAATGAACACAGTCGAAAGCACAGCCTTAGCGTCGATGATACTCATGACACAAAAACGAATACATTCCGTTACGGTTTCGTTCTTAACATTAAATAATAAACACATACTTGATTTCGTTATTTTACCACTGCATTGTTCGAATTAAAACTAATGTTAATTAGGGAAATCTTACAGGTTTAATAGGAATCTTTGTATTCGCACAATACAAAATGAAATGTTTTATTATTTTCTATACAATGAAAGTTTCGTTAATATTTAAACATCTGTTATAAATGTACATTGATACATATTAAGAC